AAAGTCGAGCATGTCAATTAAATCGTCGACAGTGGCTACGAAGTGGGTGGTGGGTGGGCTTCAAATTTCTTCGTCGTCCGCATCCCAACCGTGTTGGCCGTAGTTCGGCCAGGGCTCTCCTGACAAAGAGAGAGACTTTAATGAATTCAGGATATCACCAAAAGGCGAGTGCTGAAAGACGTCCGCGGTGGTGAACTCCATGATCGGAGCCCAATCGGGCTTAATCGGAAGAGGTGCGGGATTTACGGAGTCCGGATCAGAGTCCGGCACCTTGGAGTCACGGGCCTTGCGAAGGACTAGGCTGGTATCCGGCTCTATCGCCGTAGAGGTTGCAGCTTCCGGGGCGGCGTCCAACCGTCCGTCCCTGACTGGCGCAGTGGGCTCCGACCTAATGGTCGGAGCGGACACCTGAGTGACGCTCTGGGTGTTGTCCGATGGCAGAGCTAAATCATGCCCATCGTGACAGTGCGGCGCGCCCGGTCGTGGATCGAATCCGTCGAAGATCAAGTCGCCGCGGATGTCGGCCGTGTAGTTTAAGCTTCCAAACCTGACCTGATGGCCAGGGGCGTAGCTTTCGATCTCCTCCAGATGGCCAAACGAGTTGGCCCGCAGTGCGAAGCCGCCGAATACGAAGATCTATCCGGGGAGAAAAGTCTCATCTCGGACTGCATGCCGATTGACGAGCGAAGAAGCCATCGGGCCTAAAGGCGATGACACAGAGGAACTCTCAATGAAAGCACCAATGTCGGTGTCAAAACCGGCGGATCTCGGGTAGGGGTCCCGAACTATGCGTCTAGGCAGATGGTAACAGGAGACAAGGGACACGATGTTTTTACCCAGGTTCGGGCCCTCTCGATGGAGGTAAAACCCTACTCCTGCTTGATTAATATTGATGATATGGGTAGTACAAGAGTAGATCTACCACGAGATCGGAGTGGCTAAACCCTAGAAGCTAGCCTACGGTATGATTGTTGTTCGTCCTATGGACTAAAACTCTCCGGTTTATATAGACACCGGAGAGGGCTAGGGTTACACAGAGTCGGTTACAATGGGAGGAGATCTTCATATCATATCACCAAGCTTGCCTTCCACGCCAAGGAAAGTCCCATCCGGACACGGGACGGAGTCTTCAATCTTGTATCTTCATAGTCCGGGAGTCCGGCCAAAGGTCTTAGTCCGACCGTCCGGACACCCCCTAATCCGGGACTCCCTCAGGGGGAATCAAATTTCTCTTGGTGGAAGTGTAGAACCGGGCCTTCTCAACCAATCCCTAGAAAATCAACAAGTTTGATTGGCTAGGGAGAGAGATCGGGCGAAAATAAGCTTTGGAGCAACAATAGAGCTTGGGGAAAAGATGTAGGTCTTCTTGGGGAAGAAGTCCTCCTTTTATATTGGGGAATCAAATCTAATCATTATCCCACATCTCAGCCCGCAGAGAGCGGTACTACCGCACTAGGCAGCAGCACTGCCACTTGGCCCAGCGGTAGTACTGCTGGGGTTGCGCACAGAGAGTAGAGAAAAGGGCAGGAGAGAGAGGGCCCCCCAAGTGGCACTAGAAGCGGTGGTAGGACAGTACTACCGCTTGCAAGCGGTACTACCGCGCCTACTACCGCCCAATCCGACATGAGACGCGACATCCTTGAATCGAGGCGATACCAGCGCGGAGCAGGAGCCGTACTACCGATGATGGCCACGAGCGGTACTACCGCTGTGAAATAGCGGTACTACCGCTTGAGGCTGTCAGCGATATTGCCGCTCCGGCCCGGCGGTATTGCCACTGGCTCCTCCCAAGTGCCACTTCAGCAATATCGGTAAACACCAAGGAAGAGGAAAGGAGCTGGGGGTGCGAGATAGATGTGTACGTGTTGATTCTACCCTAGGCTTTCCCATACAGACCCCCTCTTAATAGTACGGTGTCTCCTACGACTCAAGTCCACCAAAACCAAACCGAAAGAGACTACACCGTGTTCACCTTGAGCTCCAAGGGGAAATAATCGTCTCGTGTTAATGAATGAATAACTGAAATGCTCAATGCACACGATTAGTCCGCAAATGCACTGTCATCAATCACCAAAACCACTTAGAGAGAGACATGCCCTAACAACATCTTGCCATAGCCACCTTTGTGTTTGTGGTCGATGAGCAATCAACGCATCACCATTAGAGCTGACCACAGAGTAGAGGGAGATGGGTGGCAGCGTAGAAACCCTTCTTGTTGTTTCATCTATTGATTTTTCAGATGAAAAACTTAATTTCGTTATGCGTAGACAAAATTGGATGACATACTTGGGTAAGTGAAAAAAGCAATCGGTGAAGTTATTCCCTCCATCCGGTGTTATAGGGCCGGTGAGGCACGAAGCAGCATCCCTTTCTGTTATTGGACAATCGAAAAAATCCCTATTTAAATGGACATAATTAACTATACGACCAATCAATTGGCTGATTAATTAATTATATTAATGGCTCAGTTCAAATTGATTTCAACGAAAATATCCCTATTTAAATGGACCTAATTAACTACACATTTAGTTAAATATCTAGTTCATTAGTTGCAGTGATGGTTGATTTTCAAATTGATTCGGCGCTCGGTTTTAAACTGTTTTTGTTTTAATGGCTGCAGAGGTCAAAACGAACAACATAATACTCCCATTAATAGTAGAGATTTGCCCGCAACACCTCAAATATAATCTGGGAGATCTAGGGGAGTCGAGGAGTTCCAAGCGGGCCCCGACCCACCGTTAGTCGCACCACACCTATCCACAATCCACGTCTCACAATCTGTCTGGTCCATATCAATTAGGCTGGTTGTAATGAGGAGTATCATATACTAGTATTCATGCATATGATACTAGTGTATGATACTACATCCATAATGCAAAGTATCATATGTTTATATCATAGAGTACTACATTTATTGTCATGCATGACACAAAGTAGCACAGCACTTAATATGATACAGTATCATGATATGATACTCAAGCATCTCTTCATTTAATTCTATGTCATCTCATCAAAATTGCTTAGTTGGCAATCATGATACTACCTATGATACTACATTATGGGCACACAATCCAAAAATTAGGTAAACCATTGTGCGGGCTTAGTATCTCAGTGTTGCCCACAGGGTGAGTGTATGTGATGGTGTTTGGCAAACCATGTTGCGCAACAAGTATCTAGGCCAAAAAGCGGTGTCCTAGACATATTGGAAACCTGGTGACTCGCACTTCTGGGCTGCCCTAATGGTGGCAAAGAAACATCTCTTTTGCTTTGGGTGTTTCGCGATAAAAGACGGGTTGAAGATTTGATTCTGGGAAGACATCTGGCTAGGCAATGCCAGTCTCAGAGAACAATATCCAGCCTTATATAACATTGCTCGCGATAAGAACAACAGTATTGCACACGTGCTCAGTTCATCCCCTCCGAACATTTCGTTCATGCGGGATTTGATTGGCCCCAGACTTCTGTCATGGCATAATCTTTTGTCCCGGTTGGATTCGATTAACCTGACCCAAGGTCAGGACGTGTTTCACTAGAACCTTACTACATCAGGGTCTTTCACAGTAGACTCTATGTACCGTGCGCTCACACATTCTGAGGTGTCAGTAAGTAATAACAAGAAAATTTAAAAGTCGAAGGTTCCAGTAAAAGTGAAAATCTTCATATGGTATCTTCGTAAGGGAGTTGTGTTAACCAAAGACAACCTCGCACGACGCAACTGGGCAGGGAGTAAGAAGTGTTGTTTTGTACTCATGACGAGACAATCAAACACCTCTTTTTCCAATGCAAGTTTGCATGTTCTACGTGATCAATCATCCAAATAGCGTCAAATTTATATCCGCCCATAAGTGTTGCCAATATATTTGGTCTCTGGTTGGACTGTATTCCAAATAGGTTTAAAGCGCTTATAAGGGTGGGAGCGTACGCCTTAATTTGGTCGCTCTGACTACGTAGAAACGATTTGGTTTTTAATGAAAAAAATGCTTCTCCTCTGCAGGTTATTTTTCGTTGTACGCACTCGCTTCATACGTGGTCTATGCTACAACGATCGGAGCACCAATCGATGTTCAAGACAGTGTGTACGCGGTTGGAGCAGGTGGCTACGGAGGGTTTTTTCCAACATGGATGGCAGCATAACCTCCTGATCGATCCACCACCACCTTCGACATAGGCATAGTGTCGGTCTATAGGACTCTACGGTTGCCCATATGTCGGTTTATATTTCATGTTTTTTGTCAGACTTTTGGATTTGACTGTGTGCATCTTAGTTATGCAGAGACCGGGTGTTACTCATAATGTTTTGTATCTCCTTGATGCTACATTTTGAGATAATAAAATCATCCTTTATCGAAAAATGTGATTGTGAGCTGACTGTATTGTGCTAAAAAAAAGTTGGAATATGTCCTAATAACGGTGCCTAACTGACGGAATCTACACCTTCCCTCCCATCGGCGTCCGAGCTGCCGAGCGACGGGGGAGTATCGAAGCAAGCAAGCAATGGATACCTTCCCACGTCCAAAGGACTGGCTCCACGATTCCACAAGTCAGTCCCGGCCGAACCACCATCAAGGAAAAAAGATGAAACCAGAACATGACAACCCAATAATCCCCTGCTGTCCACGACGGGATTAGGTGCCAAGTCCAAATTATTGTTCACAGCTTGCAGTTACGGACGAGTCAAAGCAAGGAATCGGGGAGGAAGGAAGGAAGCAAGCCGCCTCCCCCGTGCCAAACGAACAAAACGAATTATACTACTCGTTCCAGGAAGAGTCCAATCATCGCCTACATGTTACTGTCACCCCGGCCTGTATGTGCCACCGATCCAATAAGCTTTTTTAGAAGACAACAGAAAGTCGCGGTTCGGTGGCGGGGGTGGCGATCGGCCGGCCGATATATCGGGGGGCTTGGCCTCGGGGTGTGCTTGTTTTGTTTGTTCTCTTGCGCTGTCCGGGGAATCGGTCGTCGGTCGTGACCGTGTGTTGTTTTGGGTTGGGTGATCTTCCATGGCGTCCACGGCGTACGCGCGGGGGTCCAAGCCGCCGGTCGGTCCCGGCGAGCGGAGGCAGCCGCGGCTGGCCAAGGAGCTGAGCAGGATCGAGCCCAAGAAGCTCGGGATTGGGCTCGTCGCCGGCTGCTGCCTCGCCCTCCTCACCTACATCTCCTTCGCCCGCCTCTTCGCCATCTACTCGCCGGTCTTCGGTGAGCAGCTCGGATCCATTTCTTCGCGAAGGAACCACTTCTTGATGCTTGTTTGGTTTTTCAAGCTTGCTGATTGAGAAAAATTGTCGCTGCAGAGAGCACGTCCATGGTGATGAAGAACGCCCCGCCCGCCTCCACGGCGGTGCCCAGCACGGAGGAGGCCGTGCCGGTCCAGAAGAAGATCGAAGTCGAGGGCGGGGAAGATCTCGCTGGAGGCGGCACGGAGCCGAAAGAGCCCGGCTTTCCACAAGAAACAAAGATCGAAGAAAAGGAGGAGGAGACCCCAGCGGAGACAAAAAGCACCCAAAAAGAGGAGACCGCGGTAACCAAGCCAGGTGAGTTCTTTTCCATTTCTTTCTGTCTCTACCTGAATCCGGGATCTTAAAATGAAATGAAAAATACAGATCTTGCCTTTAATAGATGATGATTTCCCAAAGAGCTTAGCTTTAATTCTCTTAATCCCCTCTTCCATGATGTATACTACTAGTAATTTGGTTCATTCGTGTACAAATAGTACACTACTTCGTACTTAGTATGAACTTAGCTTTAATCCCCTCTTCCATGGTATATTAATCTAGTAGGAGTAGTTCATTTACGAATAGTACTTCGTATACATAGTATGAACTTATGATCCGTATTTTGGTCAGATGGTGCCGATAAAACAGAAGAGGCCAAGGCCAAGATGACCTGCGACGAGAACGCCGTGGACGAGGGCTTCCCCTACGCGCGCCCGTCCGTGTGCGAGCTCACCGGCGACGTCCGTGTCAGCCCCAAGGAGAAGACCATGTTCTTCGTAAACCCGTCCGGCGCCGGCCCGTTCGACGACAACGGGGAGAAGAAGATCCGGCCGTACGCCCGAAAGGACACCTTCCTTCTCCCGGGCGTCGTGGAGGTCACCATCAAGTCCGTGGCGTCGCCCGTGTCCGCGCCGGCGTGCGCCCGGCGGCACGACGTCCCCGCGGTGGTCTTCTCCACGGCCGGCTACACGGACAACTTCTTCCACGACAACACGGACGTGATGATCCCGCTCTTCCTCTCCACGGCGCACTTCGCCGGCGAGGTGCAGTTCCTCATCACCAACTACAAGCCGTGGTGGGTAACCAAGTTCGCGCCGCTGCTCAAGAAGCTGTCCAACTACGAGGTGATCAACTTCGACAAGGAGGAGGAGGTGCACTGCTTCCCCGGAGGCCAGCTCGGGCTGTACCGCGACCGCGACCTCATCATCGGCCCGCACCCGACCCGCAACCCGCACAACTACACCATGGTGGACTACAACCGGTTCCTCCGCCGCGCGTTCGGCCTGCCGCGGGACGCCCCGGCGGTGCTCGGCGAGAAGATGGCCGTCAGGCCCAAGATGCTCATGATCGAGCGCAAGGGCACGCGCAAGCTGCTCAACCTGCGCGCCGTGCAGGCCCTCTGCGAGGAGCTCGGCTTCGAGGTGACCGTGGCGGAGGCTGGCGCCGACGTGCGCGCCTTCGCCGAGACGGTCAACGCCGCCGACGTGCTCCTGGCGGTGCACGGCGCCGGGCTGACCAACCAGATCTTCCTGCCCACCGGCGCCGTGCTGGTGCAGATCGTGCCGTGGGGCAAGATGGACTGGATGGCCACCAACTTCTACGGGCAGCCGGCGCGCGACATGCAGCTCCGGTACGTCGAGTACTACGTGTCCGAGGAGGAGACGACGCTCAAGGACAAGTACTCCCGCGACCACTACGTCTTCAAGAACCCCATGCAGATCCACGCGCAGGGTTGGCCGGCGCTCGCCGAGATCATCATGAAGCAGGACGTCATGGTCAACGTCACCAGATTCAAGCCCTTCCTCCTCAAGGCGCTCGACCAGCTGCAGGATTAGAGCGTTTTTCTGGATTGTTTGGTTACTTGGTTTGTGTGGCACCGTTTCCATAGGCTTCAGTGGAGTGGAGTGGGGGTATGGCTAAATGATGAGTTTCATTTTGTAAGTTCAGCCAAAAGTCAATTCATTTCATATCTGTTGTATTGCTGACTAGAGCACTCGAGATCGAGATGTATCGGTACTGAACAGGGAACAGCATATACATACCGATTAAACTGTCGCTTGCTTTGCTTGATCTGACTGAATGAGTAAAGTAATTGTCTTAGGCTCTTAGCCTTCTCACGCAGATCAAAGACTGTAATAGTAGTTTTTTGACAGTGAGCTGTCCACTCACATGCTTTAGACCAAGCACGTTTTGCTCCAATCGGGGTGCCACAATCTCGAGAGACGACGCGTACTGATGCATCACCAACAAAAGCAGCTGGATACCCATCGGGGAAAAAAGCAGCTGGATATCGGACAGCAAGTTGTGAAACTGATGCATCAATCAACGGATGATTGCGCACTGTTGATGCAGGGAGGAACCGGTGACAGGCTGCCTACAAACATTATTGCGGCGTCCCGTGCAGATTCTCGTGATGCCAGCTTCTTCCTCCGGCGTGCACGTCACAAAAGAGAGTTGGCGGGCACATATCAAACGTTTATGTGGACTTTGGTATATGTACTGGCCTCCTGGGCATCTCCAGTGTCATATATATTCCCTCCATATTACAAATACATATCATTTGCATACTAGCATGACTTTCTAGATATTTATATGACCATTATTTTCGGAAACTGCTTTTGTAGGCCGAGCTTCATGGAGACCTTCAAATGTAAAATTCAAAATTCATGAAAAATTCATATTTTTACATTTTAAAAAATTCTGAAAAAATTACAAAGATATATGAAGGCATAACGCACAAGTGTGTAAATTTTTGGACAAAATACGTTGAAATTAGGGTTGTTCATATACTATATATAAAATAATTCAAAGTGAGTTACATGAAAAAATTGCAAGTTAGACTTTGGTTTTTATTATATTTGTGAAATACGTACATATTTGTACATAAAAAGGAGCATACTTAAAATATGATACATACTACCTAAGACATAGTGTATATACTGTCTAAACATTCTTATATATTATATACTACACGTGTATACTCTCGGATTTGATAGATACTAGACGCAAGATACAAAACTCAAGTGGTGATAACTACCACCGATGGTAGCAAAAAAATGTTAAGGTTTTCAACGATGTAAAAGTTCTCTGAAATCCTGAAACAAATACTGAACCAACACACCTACAATATAACATGATCCAACGGATGGATTGAAAAAATATGACTGCATGTGTCCTGGACAAAAAGAACAAATATTTCAATATATATTGATCCTGCAGTGAGCTGAAATGCTTATTTTTTTCACTGGGGATGCATAAATGCATATTTTCACAATCACGCCGTTGGATCATCTTATTATATTGGAGTGAGGCTTTCCTATTTATTTCATATTTTTTACTTACATTTAAACCGTTAAATGTTTAGCAAGCCTTAACTAGTTCTGTGGCAAGCTATGATAGACACAGTTTTACCTATATATATATATATATATATATATATATATATATATATATATATATATATATATATAACATAAAAATTGTATTATAAATGTACTTAATGAGACAAATCTAAACATTTGACTAATTTAGAAGGTCTCGATCTAAAAATTGAAAATATAATTCTGGTCAAAGTTTTAAAACTTTCACTTAGGACATGTTCAAAATGATATGTATGGATTGGCTCAATTCTTCTCTACTTGACTGACTAAATCGAAACAACATAAATACTAGTAGGACTAAATGGTACCACACACATTGTTGCGAAAATATTTCCCAATATATTTTGGTGATATTTGCTTGTGTGGAGCATAGAAAAAATCATAGTACTAATATGAGAAATGAAATTAAATATACATGTGATTTGTTGTGTTTGATTATTAAATAGCTGTAGAATAGTTATTAAATATTAATAGCATAATACTCATGCTTGTCTGTATGTTGTGGTGGGCTTTTTCTATGTATTGCTGCATGTTGAAGTGGGCCTAGTCGTGTCAGGCTTGCATGTTCGAGAGAAATAAGTTAGTGTAAACTAGCTATTTAGGTAAGAAGATTGTCTTCGCTTTGCTTATGTTTTGTATGACTCTGTAAAACTTAGTGGTTTCTTGAATGGGAATCAAAGGGGGCGTCCGTTGTAAAAAAAAAAAGAACTGGAAACATGATACTACAGCAATCCTAAAATTTAGTATTACCACCTTTTATAACTTACAAAAAAAATGTATTTGTATGTTTCAAAATTGTAGAAAATACCATGAGTTCGAACTTACCCATGTATATAATCATAGTATGGCTATTTGCAACCGACATGAAAAGGAGCACTCTCGATTTCACCTAAGTTACAAAAATGGGTTATATTATTTTCTTAAAATTTACATGTGTAAGTTTCTAACAAAAACCAATGTGAATGATGTTTTTTAGGAAGACAATTCTAACCTACAAATATGTCGTTAGGGAGCGGGTTTTGGTGTACCCATGTTCCAAAACACGCTCTAGTAGGCACAACTACTAATTCATTGCAATGCTCACAAGCAACTGATTGCGTAATCACTGAATTAATTAGAAAATCAATCTACTCGAACAAAATCAAACATAATTTAAAAATATAGATTAATGCGATAATTCATAGCTGAGCCCGAGCTTATGTACTCTCGGTTTGAACAGTAAATTCAAAAAAATCAAACAAATTCAAAAACTAACCTGAGATCTTTTGACGCCAATTTGCTCGAATTTTCCAGGTGGTTGCAAAGTTTCATGTCGAGATGACTTCGTGAGGAGTTTCGTCCAAACAAATAGAGCTTCAAAACATTTGAAATTGCTCAAGTTTTCCAAGCTTCAGTTTTGTGTTTTTTATATTGAGCTCCTCCGATGCCATCTCACCATGAAATTTACAAGCACCCAGAAAACTCGAGCATATTTGGTGTCGAAAAGTTTTAGTCTTTTCTAAAGAAATATTTGCTATATCTGTTGAATTTACTGTTCATGTGCGGGGGTAGATGCACATTCATTCTGAACCGCCCCCCTCAGATTAATGCACCAAAAATACCAAAATGTGAATATGAAAAATTGTTAATCATGTATTTAACGAAATAAACATGTATAACAAAGTGTTCCTGTTGGATACAAAAAAAAAGTACAAGATGTATGGATAAAAGTAGACATCTGACAATATGTTTTGAAAAATGTTAAATATATTAGCAGAAAAGTTATATGCGTTTAAAACATATTTATATTTATATAAAAATGTACAATGTGTATGAAAAAGATGGACTTCAAAACATGTATTTTATTAAAATGTTAATCATCTATTGAAAATATTGAACATTATAAAAAATGTTTTGATGTATATCATTTTTTTACAATATGTATGAAAAAGATAGACATCAAAACTGCTCGAGTTTTCTGAGCTCCGATTTCGTGTTTTTTTGTACCGAGCTCCTCCAATATCATCTGACCACGAAAATTTGCGAGCACGTGAAAACGTCGAGCATATCGGGTGAGGATGAAGAAAACAGTAGTCATCGTAGACGGAGGAGTGTCAAAAGAAGTTGTCTCTGGTTTGAACCTCTCATCCTCCCAAGCAAATAGTGCGTCAAGCATCTCCAAAGGCACTGGTTCATAAATATTGTCAGGATTTATCATGGGGACGGAATCTGAAGGCTGACCAAAAGGTCTCTGAAATAGGTAGTTGCAATTTCCAGGATCTGTTAGAGGTTTGTTGGCAGGATCTGTTGTTTCTTTAGGATGCTCCATATTGTTCTTCAGAGCATGCCCTGACGTTGCCGTTGTTTCTCCTCGGAGAGCCCGACCGGTTGCTTGCTCTCCAACATCCGCGCTGATGCGTATGCACAACCGGAGCAAAGTCGATGACCCACTGCAGCGGCTCTTGGTCTGCACCTCCCTAGCAGCGGGGCTTCTCATCCACGCCGTCAATGTCAGGCTCGTCGCCAAAGAAGGAGCAACGACGACCATGCTTTGCAGGCTCCTGCTGCTCGCCGGCAGCCTACCTAAGAGGCTTGTCCCACCGCCTATCCTCTGTCGTCGCTGTCGCCCAAATCCCTAAGTCGCACGCGCATCCCACACGCGGATGGGTGACTTTCTCTAGTATATATAGAGACAGATATGGTCTTAGAAGAAGACACGGTGGAGAGAAATGAGGAGGATGCGGTGCTGCAGATCAGTGAGGTGGCAGAAGCCAAGCCCTTGGATGGCTGATGGGCATCCCTAGAACGTTTCATAAGAATGATGATGATGATGGCCCATTTCCAGGAAAAGGAATTGGATGTGACTTTTACAATCTCAAGAATCTCAAGATTGTTGTACCAAGTTCAAGTTCCGTTTTTCTGCAATGTTTTTGAGCAAACTTTCCATGTCAGTCAAGCTATTCTGGTTTCTTTGAGGATGTCGAAAAAAGACAAGCCTAGTTGGTCTAGAGTTTGTTATTTATGTTTCTAATGTTCAAGCCTTCTTTGATGTTGATGGGCAAGGGCAGTCTCTCTAATATTTCACAAGCAAGTATACACTAGCTAGATCCTCAAATGGGCCTGGTAACATATCCATCCATCCAGAGGCATGGATCCTCAAAGTACAAGCTATCAACAAGTCCTTCAGATCACCAACTAGAAACATTTGGTTTGATTGCATCTTTCAAAGACATAGCGATATGGCATGACGTTCAAATTTATCCACATGTCCATAACAAGATATAAATAACAAAGAACAACGAACGAAACAAAATACAATCGTGATAATGCTCTTCAAGGAGGCGATCACCAAGGGGAAACATTACAACACACTACTTCTGTTGTTTCCAATAAGTACTGAAGATTGTAGCAAAGAGGATCCACTCTTCACTCGTGGGGGTGAGCAGTTAAACTGGATTCTCATGGACAACCCAGAT